CGAAACACCCCGCGGCGATATTTTTCGGCCAATTGACTGGTTCTTTCACTTTGATTTGGCCGTGGGTGGGTTTAAAATTGAATTTCATGCAAGAGGGAAAATTTTTACCTTGTTTGGCGGTCAAAAATTGCTCCGGTGCGGTGGCGGGTGGCGGCAGTCGGCTCCTCGGCGGCTGGGTTGTCTTCTCCAGCGAGGGGCTCTGGCGGCTAGGGTTAGGGTTTGGGTGCGGATGGGATTATTTATACCCATCTACTTTTGATTTGGGCCATCCATTATTTTTAATTTTGACCGTTCAATCATGATTAAATAGGGAGTGAATCTGTACCATTCATCGTGATTCAATCTGGGCCGTCCATGCGCGTTTTGAATCTGTGTCGTCCGTGCGCGCGGGAATTGATCTCAGCCGTTCGATCGCGCGCACGCAAATTGCCCACGTGGTTCCCTCCGTGTGGCCTCCCGCGTCAGCGCTTCTATCACTTGGCGCGTCCTGGTTGGTCGGGACTGCTGTTCGGGCATCTGACATGACGTAATTTTTTTAAATTACGTTTTGACCCCGATTTCCGATTTTTCTTTGAAAAATATCCGTAGAACTCAAATTTTCACATCTTTTTCTCAAAATTATTTTGAATTAAATTCTTAATTAATTTTTTACCATTATTATTATTATTATTTTCGTTAAATCAAAATAAAATAAAATAAAATAAAATAAATTCAATTAAGAAATAATTATATTTATAAAAAAATAAAAATAAATGTTGGGTGTTACACACTAAATATCAAATGCTAAATGAAAGAAAATGACAATCACCCTCAGCTACTTAAAATACAATTGACATCTCATTCATTCAAAGAAAAGTAGTGATGGAGTTGTTCTTTCCACAATTAAAACAAAATTTTTCTTTACTAATATTATAATAATCAAAATGTAAGAGATTATATCTGTATATAAATTATATTTTTAAAAGAGTTTAACGGAGAAAAAATATTCTATCAATAGAAATAGAAATATATATGAATTAAATGACACATAATTATTTATAATAACATAAATTTTCATCAAATACATATATATATATATATATTTTCAAACCCAAATATTTTATTTTATTAAAAAGAAAAAAAAAAGATGTATTGACTAAATAATTATAAGACTAAAGAAAATTGTGGGGTTCTCAAGAAAACTGAAAAATCTAAAGGGAGCAATCAATAGACGGACCAACCTCCTTTATTTGAAGACCCCGAGACTCACGCACTTGCCGTCGTCCCTCTTAATACTATTCATCCATATCATTATTATTTTTCACATTCTTAATTAATTAATTATTTATTTATTTACATATACATATATATATATAAAAGGGTCCAATAAGGTTAAAGTATTTTATTAGTCCCTTTATTAAAAAATAATAATTATAAGATCCTCTTTTTCACCGCTTTCTTTTGGTTTCTGAAGCCATAAAGTTGCACTGAGATTGGTTTTGGGTAAATTTTGAAGTTTGGGTTTCATTATTGATTTTCCTCCTTTCTCTCCGTTCCACACCATTAATATTTCATTAATTAATTTATAAATCTCTTATAAAATAGTTTTTTTTATATTTTATTTTAATCATGATCTAATTTAAACGAGTAACGTATAAACTATAATATAAATTTTATATTTTAATACATATTTTTTGACATCGCATATTTATAATTTATTATCTTGTATTATTATTAATAAATTGTTTAATAATTGACGTAATGAATCGTATACATACTAGATTGGTTTAAATTTATTTTAATTATATGATTTTAAAACATTTCTACCAATAGTATATTAAAAGTTTGCTTTTATTTTATGTATAATCTTATTTGTTAATCCAATTTAGGATTCAATTAACACTTAGTATGTATATTTTGTCTTCCATAAATTTATGAAGCTTTCGTTTTATCTTTTATACAAAAATAATTGTTGGTGACCAATAACTCGTAGAAACTTATATTCCTAATTCTCTGCCTCTACCAAATTCCTCTTCTTTTGACTATTTTTATTTCCAATTCTAAGGAATGGTATAAATGCATCATTTGACACTTTGTACCGAGTTTGGAATTTCTTTTTTTTTTTTAATTAATTAAATTATAATCACTAAATATGTTAATTTATAAACATATTATGAATCGTAATATGCGGAATTATAATTTTTAATTTAATAAATATAAAACTTAATTCATTAATATATTTATAAAACTATAATAATAAAGTTAAAAAACATTATAACAAGATATTATAAATACGATAAAAAAAAAATTATCTTAATTATTACTAAATTTTTTTAGTTGATGTATAAGCCTACCAACCAAAAAATAAAATAAAATAAAATTATTTATTATTCTTAATCTAGATAGTTGGTACTTCAATTTATACAAATTCAAGTTGGATTATGTGTTTTGTATATTTTCTTATTAAGAGTTTTTTAATAGAATTTTTTTAATAATGTTATTACTAGTGTGAAAATAAAACATAATTAATAAAATATATAATTTTTTATTTATAAACTAAGCTTCAACGAATTTTGTATTTATATGTAATTGAATAAATTTATGTATTGAGTTTAGAAGTCATTCACTTTTTGAGTTCAACTTTGAATTGGCTTTTAATTTTCGAAGTCTATTCAATTGCAGAGGAGAGAGTGATGATAATGGTATGTATGTTCATGAAAATGACAATGCGTCCTGCATATTAATGTTTTTATGGCAGAGTTCCTGTAGCTGGACGCCCTACAAATTTTTTCTTTTTTACCTCGTTCATATTATTACTATTTGCATTTACCAATTCCAATTTCTCCTTTCCCACTTCATTCATTTGACAGGCAGAGTAATACATCATATACATTTGCATATACATATATAATCTTCTGGACTTTTTTAATTTCAAATTTTGAATACCCATATAAAATTAAGGGTAGCCCACAACTTTTACCGCAAAAAGTTTGGATCTTTTTTTTTTATTTTAACACCGCATCATCAATGGCATTGCGGAAAACAGACACTCCTGATCTACTAGTTACGCAGTTTGGCTGGTTACTGGTAGCATTCACTGGTTTTTTCTATTTCTTTTTTGTTTTGATATAGGGTTTAGAATTAGGATAGATAATAATAAGCTAGCAATCTTGTGAGAGGACATGGCTTCCTTTCAGTTTGGTTGTCATGTTCCCCACACAAGAAAAGATTCTCTTCCACATTCAAAAGAGAACAAAAAGAAAGAACACTAATTTTTTTTCTTTGGTTAGTCAAAAAAAAAAAAAAAAAAGGCTACTTATGTTGGTATTTATGTACCCTCCCTTTATTTACTTGTTTTTAGCTTTTTTTTTTTTAGCCTTTCTGGGGATACCCATCTTGTAAAAAGCTCCGGGACATGTTTACTGTGATGAAGCTTCTTCTGGGTGGCTAAAGCTTTCACTATACACTTGCATATAACATTACTTGAATCCTTGGTTCTGTTGAGCTGCTTTCTGGAAGCTGCAGAGGAATTAGTGTTCAGAAAACTTGAGATTCTTCTTTGTTTCTCTTTTCAGCTTTAGGGTAAAAATGGGTAGGAGACGCCATTTTGCTTTTCAAGATCGAGAATGGAAGGGTACTTAAAGTGAGAAGCTTTGACCTTTGAAGCAAAACAAGAAGCAGAGAAGAAGGAGGAGGAGGAGGAGGAAATATGCCAACAGTGTGGTTTTCTTTGAAGAGGTCTTTACACTGCAAATCAGAGCCATCAGATGTTCATGACCCAAAAGCAAGGAAGCATTTGAGCACAATCTTGACAAGAAAAGCAGGAAGGTCAGGTTGTTCAAGGTCTATAGCCAACCTCAAAGATGTTATTCATGGGAGCAAGAGACATCTAGACAAGCCGCCTAGTTGCAGCCCAAGATCCATAGGGAGCAGTGAGTTCCTCAACCCCATAACTCATGAGGTTATTCTCAGCAACTCAAGGTGTGAGCTTAAAATCACTGGCTATGGCGGTTTCCAAGATGGGTCTGTCAATGGCGGTGGTGGGAATGGTGCAGGTAGTTGTGGAAGTGGAGGGTCAACTTTTGTGGGTACATTAAGGCCAGGGACTCCGGGGCCTGGAGGACAACCTACAATGCATTATTTTAACCCTTCCTTTAGGCCATCTTCTGCAACTCCACCAAGAAAATCTCCTTCTCTTCTATTCGAAAGAGAAGGTTCTGGTTTTGGAGGATCTGGGGCTTTTGGTGGTGTTCATTCAAGCAATAGAGTCTCTTTACAACAAGATTCTAATGGGTCTTCTACTGTGACCTGCCATAAATGTGGAGAGCAGTTTAGCAAATGGGAGGCTGCTGAAATTCATCATCTCTCTAAGCATGCTGGTCAGTAAAATTCTTACTTAGATTCTTCAATTTTCTTATTTCTCTGGGCTAATTTCATTTGTTCTTTAACTTCTTTGCTTCCCTGCTTCTCTTTGGAAGCTTTTAGTGAAGTATCTTTTGGGAGGTTGCTTTATCTTCACTACTTTCTTATCCTCCCGCCACTAAAAATCATTCACAGTTCTCTGTCCACAAAATCTAGTAAACCCACTTTTTGAAAGCAAATATACAGAATTTTGGATCCCCTCTTGTAATTTACACTTTCACTTTTAGGAACAAGATTACTGCTTTTTATTAAAGAACAATTATTATGTTTTATAAAATTTATGTGCTTTTGGACTTTACAGAATGTCTTCTTCTTTTTCTAGTCAATTTGAAGAAATTCTTCATTTAGAATTTTAAAATAAAGTGCCCATGATGTTCTGCAGAACTTTTGGTTTGCAATCTCCAAATCTCATTGAAGCCAAATCTAGCTATTTTTTGACCAAAAGGTCTCTAACTGCTGAAATGTGGGGCATGTCCTGGGACTGTGCCAACTATTTTTAAGTTATTCTGGTTCTTGATATCTTAAGCAAGTAGCTTTAGCTTCTTATTCCTCAGTGTCTCACAATTTTTGTCTGTTCAACAGTAACTGAACTTGTGGAGGGTGACTCGTCTAGAAAGATTGTGGAAATTATTTGCAGAACAAGTTGGTCAAAGTCTGAGAATCAGTGTGGCAGGATTGAGAGAGTGTTGAAAGTTCACAACATGCAAAAAACTCTAGCTCGATTTGAGGAATACAGGGAAATGGTGAAGATCAAAGCCAGCAAACTCCCCAAGAAACATCCCAGGTGTATTGCGGATGGGAATGAACTCTTGAGGTTCTATGGCACAACTGTGTCATGCTCTCTTGGCCTAAATGGTTCCTCAAGTCTCTGCATTTCTGAAAAATGTTGTGTCTGCCGGATCATTAGAAATGGATTCTCCACCAAGAAGGAGCTAAAGGAAGGCATTGGAGTATTCACAACATCTACGAGTGGAAGAGCTTTTGAATCCATTGAAATTTTTGAAGACAATCCATCTGTAAGAAAGGCATTGATAGTATGCAGAGTTATTGCTGGGAGGGTTCACAGGCCTCTGGAGAATATACAAGAAATGGCTGGTCAAACTGGGTTTGATTCTCTGGCTGGTAAAGTTGGTCTCTATTCAAATATTGAGGAGCTTTACCTTCTCAATCCTAGAGCCCTCCTTCCTTGCTTTGTGGTAATCTGCAAACCTTGAAGAATTAATGTGAAAATTTTAGATTTATATTTTCGTGGGAATTCTTTTCCTTCTGTGGTAGATTCTTTCTTCTGTGAGGAGAATTCTTATCCAAGTCCATGTTTTTTGTTGTCACTTCCCTATATATCTGATTTTGTGCATTTTTTTTTTTTAAATTCCATCCTCTTCTCCAACTTGAAGGCTTTTGTTGTTGATAAGAACATTTGTAAGGATCTGTATATTTTGTTGGCTGTATTGGAAACCATACATTTCTTGTGACGAATTTGAATCTTGATTCTTGGAGGTTGACATATAACAGAGGACAATCCTCTGTAATGTTGGATAACATAATTACCATGTTGATTTCTAAGACCAAACATCGAAAGATTAAAGATGAAAACTAAATCCCATAGACACCAACAGATTAAACTCGAATCATTCAAGACATGTGAGGAGCATGACTCCATCTTGATGAAGAAGAAAAATTATAGGATAATTATAAGTAGGTGTTTTGTTTTCTAGTATGCATTGTGAAAAAAGGGCTAATGTATACAGCAGGAAGATTTAATTATGAAAAGAGCATGTGGTCCATGTTGGAGGGCTGATTCAAACAAAGCTTAATTCAAAGCAGAGGACAAAAAATCAAGTAGGATTTCCCATGTGTTCGCTATCTAGGCTACAATTATCTTGTCTTCATCTGTTCTCACACTAACTTTCACTTGAATTTGTGCTGTAAATGCATTGTGTTACTCCTTAAATTGTCAGGTTTTGGTTTTCTTGTGGAGCTGATGTATTCTCTTGATGCAAAAGCAGCTAATATTGAAGATAAGGTCAGGGATTTCTCTCCCTATCTTGAATTTCAAAATGGTAACTTTTAAATTTTTTTTGGTATATTTAGATGAGTTTTTACTTTTTAATCAAGATAACTTTTAAATTTTTTTTTGATGAAATATTTAAATGGGTATTTACTCTTTACAGCATCTATCTAGTTTATATTTCTCATCTCCCTACTGCAACATCTGTACAGCTTTTTGTGCCCTCTGGCACATGCACCTCATAAATGTACACTGCTGACCTTCATTACAATCCAGGATAGAATAAATGTATTTGAATGGAGTAGTTTGGGATTGGATAAAACCCAAATTAAGATATTTAGCACAGTCGGCATGGCCCTCTGATTTAGACTGTTCCTTTTCTGGGCTGCAACTTGCTGATCAGCCATGTTCAGATGATGTTAATCCTTTGATTGGTTTGACGAGCATTTTTTATGGAGACTGGTTGTTGATGAAAATAATATAAACAAGTTATAAGCAGAAAATAAAAAATTATACCCAAACCTTGAAATTTTCCATGGATTTTATATATTTTTTTCTTCTACCCTGACTTTCTGCAATTAAATAATAATCTCTTTTACATGTGCTAATTTAAGTAATAACAATAGCTTCATCAACCGAATAAAATACAATTCTTGAAGTCACACTCACATGCATCTCAGAAAAAAAAAAAAGAGGTCAAACTCACATGTTAATCAACTATGGCTTCAAGAGAGCAACTTTTAGGGAAGCAGCTTTTGCTTTGAAACCCAAATAGCCAGTTCCATTCATTCTGCGAAAAACATTCTCTCAAAATAATTAGCACTTGTTTATTGCTTAGATATTTTAGTTGGTAATGGCTATAACAAACCATCATATGCTACAATCTGCTTTTTGGCCCCAGCTTGCTGCAGAAGTAACTACTTTCTGGGTCCTTTCTATATATAAATATAAAGAATGCTTTAAGCTGTTAGATAAGACTGCTTATGGTTATTAAAAACTCAACTTTCACTTTTTGATTCAAACTGACATGGAAATTTCAATTAAGCTTGGTGCCTCAATTGACGCCTTTAGATCAGTCTTGCCGCTGATCCTGCTTGGTTTGGTTGGTGATCATGTCACAGCATTGATGATGAGTAAGAATTTTTGCACGTTGAAGATTTTACCAAACATAATGTACAACTGAGATAAGCTAGACTAAGATCCTCATTTATTGCAGGCAGAAGATATTATCAGAGCTTAGTCTATTTAAGTTAGTTAGTACTTTCAACGATTTTAGGCATTACTTTGTAATTGGAGGTAGAAAGCCATGTTCTAGACAAGCTTCAATTGTTTGACCAATAATAACTTGTAGGCCATGCTTGAAATTAAAACCCAAATCTCTTAGCTTCTTTGAGGAAATCACAGGTGGGGATAAGTTTTGACTCTTCTCCTCCAGCCTGGAACACAAGATAAAAATAAAAAAGATGAAGGCATGTGATGAAAGTTATCTTATTCATTGTTAACTAGTGATATAAAATATGATGAAGAGAATTTACCCCATTATTTTTTGGTTGGATGGTCAGTATTTCCTTCACTCTATAAAAAATTGTGAATTCGAGTAAAATTATGTTTTTTTATATATGTATATATTATGGCGCATACACACTATATATAATCAACTTAGAAAATGAAGGAAACTTACTTGTGTAAATTCTGTTGTCCATAAAAATCTCGAGTTAGATGATTAGTGAAGTCAGATATAAGAGAAGTGCAGGCACAGCAAATGTATTGACCTTGTGCTTGAGGCTGCTCCATAAGAAAGATGTGGGCATTGCATATATCGTCAATATGAACTAAAGCAATTGACCCCATTCTTGCACTAACAGCAGACAGGATTGAGAAAAATTTAGGGTCACCTATCAAAAAATCAAATTCACAAGTTGATCATACTTGTTTTGTTTGCTACTGGGCAACATGTTATATACTCCAGGTAGAGCACTTTACCCACAGACAACTACAATTTAGACTTGCATGCTGTGATTAGATTAGAAGTTTGGTAGTTAATTACTCTGATTTACAGACAGAGAAATGAAATTTGCAAGATTAAATTTGATCTTTTAGTTACCTGTTAGTGGTGACAAGAAAACTTGAATGCTTGATGGAACAGTAGAAGTTAGAAGTGGTCCTGCAACAGTTGGTGTTATCACTGAAACAAGATCTATGCCATTTTCCTTTGCAAATCTAAATGCTGCTTGTTCTGTAAGAAGCTTGGAGAGCACATAAACCTGTAAAATTCTAGGGTTTTTTTCTTAGTTTTCAACACTTTCTCTCGTATGAAAAATATATTACATAACAAAAAACGAAACTAGGAATGAATAAATTCATTTGGTGTAAATAGACTAAACTATATACGTACACAATCTCTACCGCTAACACATTAATTTCACTAACGCACTAACTTCTCTACTAACAAATTCATTTATCTACTAATACACTGATTTCTCTATTAATATTCTCTTGGCTAAAAAAAAAAAAAAATCATGTATTCTTTGGTGTTGTTTGTTTGATTCTAATTTTCTTTGTAAATGAAATATAATTATAGATTTCTAACTCTATCATCACCTTAAATAATATAACAAAATAATTATTTTAAAAATTTAAATTAATAAGAAAGAGTCCAAACTAGTATTTTATATACTAAGAAAATGGAAGTAGAGGCTTCTAGTTTACCCATCCTACTGTTCTTGTCTCCCACACATTGCCAATAGTTGTCTGGCAAGATTCGTCGACGAGTGGCTTCCACTTTCCAGTGCTATCTTTGGCAGTGAGGGTGCTAATGGAGGATGTAAAGACAACCCTTTTCACAGACTTGGATTTCAAGCAAGAATTGAGGAGATTCAAGGTACCCTTGATTGCAGGATCTATGATCTTTGATTGAACATAACTCTCTTTCAAATTGAAGAAACAAGCAATTCAGAGATGTTGAAGAGTAGAGCTAGGGTTTATTACAAAGCTTTAAATGAAGTAAAAAGAAATACCCAGATTGTGTTCGTCAATGTGAGGAATATCAAATTGCATAGAAGCTGCAACATGGAATACACCATCACAACCCTTTATGGCCTCATCAAAGCTCCCTTCTTCTTCTAAATCAGCTTGGAACAGTCTCAATTTATCTCCCCCATTCCATGATGATAACAGATGCAATGACTTTCCTGAGATAAATTTAATCTAAAACTTTTATTTTCAGTCAATTACAGTTTTCAGATGATATGTCTATACATACACATCGTGAAGATGAAGTTGTATGCATACCATCAATAAAAGGTAGTTAATTCTTCGGCTGAAAGTTGAGGACTTTCAATCAATCAAAATGGTGAATTTTTTGACTAAAATATATATATATATATATATATTCATTTGCTTTCAATCAAGCCCAAGACAGGTGGAAATAGTAGAGGTAATGGCTGATGGGCCTGACTGAGCCCAGATTGCTGATTTACCGTAATTAACAAAGTTATAAAGGGAGAAGAAACTAAATTATTTTTCTTTAATCTTTTTTAATGAATATCCCAAATTGAATAAATGAAAATATCATTTGAAAAATAATGGAGTTACCATTACTTTTAATTTTCCAGAGCTACCACTAATTTTTTGATTAGTTAATATAAAAAATTTAATTATTTTTTAACTAGATAATTAGTATTGTAAGTACGAATGGAACTGTAAATTTAGAGTATGTGTGTCATCTAATCAAGAAAACATAGAAAGGATTATTTAAAAAAAAAAAAAAAAAAAAAAAGAAGCATTTTGAGGAGAGAGAGAAAGAAATTAAAGAAAGAAGAAGAAGAAGAAGAAGAAGAAATGAGTGGACAAACCAGGGTCCCTGAGAGTGGCATGAACCTTGTAGCCTTTTTGAAGCAGAGACTTGACCAACCACGAACCAATATACCCAGTTGCCCCTGTTACACAATATCTTCCATTACCACTCTCATCATCTCCCTTCACCAATTCCTCCATGTCCAACCTCTCAACCCAACCTATATATATATATATATATAATATAAAATACGTACGTATTTAAAATTGCTTATGGCTCGCTGAAAGTACTGAACGCGAACGCGCAGGCATAAACACACACGTGGATATGCATAGCATGATATGTAAAGAACGGAGAGCGGTGTATGTATATAAATGCGTGTATGGTTTTGTAGACAGATTTTGTTTGAAGCCGTTTTTATACTGTGACGTGTTTGTTTATGCGATGAAAACGAATTGATGCGTACGCCATTGCTTTTAATTGATAATGCATGCTTGCCAAATGCGCCTCTCTCTCTCTCTCTCTCTCTCTCTCTCTCTCGCTCTTGTCATCATCCATCTTTTTGCATTTTTAGTAAAAATTTAATTAAAGAGAGAAAAAGTATCACCAGTGCAACTAAAAAGTAATCTACGTTCACGTCCTACTTCTTCATGTATTTATTATTAAAAAAAAGGTCAATTACTTAATTAATTGCGCTTAATCATGTGGGTTCGTTTCTAGACTCTTCCCAATTGCCACAGTTTGGAAGGGGTGCGCAGTGCGCTACTCTTATCATCATTTGAGTCCCCTTTTTTTTTTTTTTTCCTCTATTCCTCATGCGGGTAGTGGATGAATTAACATTATTATTTCTTTATTTTTTTTTTTAAAAAAAAAAGAAAGAAAAATAAATTAGCATCGTTAGAGAAAAAAATAAAAAAATAAATATAAGTTGGCTGATAAATTGGACTTTTTGACATGCTCTTATTATGAATTTTGTGGTTTGTTAGTTGGATTCTTATTTTAAATTTTAAATTTGAGTTCAATATTCTGTAAGAATTAAATTTTTTTAATTAAAATAAATATAACAAATTAAAACTTTAGTTTTTTCCTTTTAGATATAAAAATAGTAATCAATAAAAATTTATTTGTAGATATCATACGGATATTAAGAGTGTCGTGAAAAAGACATCCACAGGGTATGTGAAACAGAATACGGAATTATAAATTATATTGCTTTCCTTGTAAATAATTAATTATTTTTTAATAAACTGCTACTGATGATGTTTTTGTTTACGATGTTAGCAACTTAGGGAGTTTTAAGAAGCCAATATAAATTTTCCAGACTTTGATTTCCTTTTTCTAGAGAGTCTCACACGAACAACGGCGGGTACCTGTCTTCTTCAGGTCATCAAATCACCCAATCTCGAACGCCAAATATGCACCATCATTACCCTACCCTCCGAGGTAGTTAACTGTCCTATCAAACAATAATTCAATCTTGCTCCTTATATATATATTTATAAAAATTCATATATTTTAATAATTACGATCGTTCCTAACAATACAATTAATCTCAACATAATTAACTTTCTAATAAGAACACATACGAATGATCGGTATAAAAAAAAAGTGAAAATACCATCAACCCAACTAAGGAATGATCGGTCGTTATATTCAAATTCAACACAATCCTAACCACTCCAAGTGATCATAGTAATCCGAAACCAAAGAGATAAGTTCAGAATTCGGTTTGCAAAATGACCAGTACGGGTGATTAATTTGCATTATATAACAACGACAAAGAGCTTAAGCACTTGATCTACATACCCAACATTCTTGATCACCTATAAATCAATGGACAACTTGGAGAAACTACATTAACTCTGTTGAAAACAGTAAAAAGATGGACAAGAGGACAGAAATTTACCTATATTTTCAGAAAATGCATTGACGATCTACTTCATTTGGGATTACTAGGATGTAGCAGCTACTTCTCTCTCTTTGCTCTTTGCTTCCTTCAGTTTCTTCCAGTTCTCCGCACTATCAATTATTTCTCCCGTTTTTATGAGGTATCGAACTCGTTTCCCATTATCAAGGATCTTGTGACCCACCCGGCTTGCTACATCCTGTTCTTTCGAGTAGAGCATCACATTTGAACTGTGAATAGGTGCTTCAATCTAGGATACCATGCCCAACAGCATTCATCAATCAATTAATACAGCAGGCAAATGAAAAACATACATAAACTCAGAAAAAAAGGTTCTACTAGTCTTGCAATTATAGCTTTTCTTATAAATTAGTCTCCGGTTTCCGGGTTACAATTAGATCTCTTAATTGACAGATACGTTTCAAGTCACGTAGAAAATTGTTACCTAATTTAATTTTTTTAAAAATGGTTAATTATAATACAAGTGATGCCACGATTAATTTGTAATAAAGGTTATAACACAAAATCGATAGTTAGCCAAAAAAGGTATAGAAGCCCAGGCACGGCTGGCAGCAATCATAAGTTCACGACTAGCAGTGATGCTATTGATCTGAAAGGAGGCAAAGGAAGATGTTACAGAGCAACAAAATGCGATTAGCATGGCAAATAAATCTGCCCTCATGATAGTCCATTTATATAGATCTAGAACGTACACACTTAATGGCAATAAACAAGAGCATTGATAAAACTTAACATCAGTGAGTTCATGAACCAAAATGAGTTTAAACCAACCTTAGTTATCTGACCAGGTTCACCCTCCCCTCTGCTCTTCATGTGCTTTGTCTTCAGGTTTATCTCTTTCACAACAATGGTGCTGTTGTGCTTGAAGATCTTAGTTATCTCTCCAATTTTACCTTTATCGCGTCCAGATATTACCTTGACAGTGTCCCCGACTTTAACATGCATTTTCTGTAAAGTTGGAAGGCTGTTTGGTTTACATTCTTTTCGTTCCCATTGCTTTAGCTGCAAAAGGAAAGAAGAACAAATATTGACCCAAACCCCATGCTTAGCATTTCAAAAGAAAAGTGTTAGGTTATGTAATATCAAACATCAAGACAAACTGACAATTTCTGGGCTTT